AGCACCCATTTTTAGCATTTTCCAATATCTGTGGTGTAAATATTCCAACCACTGAACATGGATTTGGGACGAGAGGCCTAGGGTTAGCCCGTATGATCCAGCCATAGCACAGACATGTATTCAGTTAGGGAAAACCACCATCTTTGGGAATATCCCTAAGTGTTCAGTGGAATCCACCCCATCAACCAACCCCATGGGACTGTATGGTCACCTCAGCAGTATAAATTGTAAGTTCACTTTGTCCTCTGCTTTGGGATTTTGTCTTTTAGATGTTTACTTACAGGACAGAAAAATGCAAGGGCTGGTATCTGCAATTTACATGGAAAAGAACTCTTGCTGTCCCTGTGTGGGGCTGCTCTGCTGGCCCTAGACCTGGTAGGACATATGGTACACACTTTAAAGCATGTCTGTGTTTGGTTAATTTCTTCTCAAATTTTGTGTGTGGTTAGTGTGGGTCAGGAACCACAGAAGTTCTCACGACAGTTGGGAAACGAAGTTACCCAACTTGCTGATTTCTCTGTTTCCTATTCTCCTCGTCCTTCTTCTTTTGAGGGCCGTTAAGACGAGAGAAAGGGCTCAGTGATAAAGCATTTGCCTTGCTCTGTACGTACAAGGCCCTGAGTTTGATTCCCCAGTCCCATAAAAGAAGGAAACAAATTTGAAGCACGCACACGCGTGCACACACACGCACACACACACACACACACACACACACACACACACACACACACACACACGGTGATGGGGAATCAAATGTGAATTAAGCTCTTGCTTGGGCCTCTGCTTTCAACTGTTTGGTGGGATAGAGTCTTGTCTGTTTCCTGCATCAGTGTTGCTATCACCCTGATCCACCAGAACAACAACAGGCATGGTCCACGTGAGAGGGGGTGGTGACCCTACTCAGAAAATCCTCAGGCCCATTTTTTTAGAGAAAGCTAATCTTGAAATCAGAATCCGTCGACAGTGGACCTTCAGCGATCACTGTTTCAAAGTGAGATGGAACTTTAAAGAAAAAAGGAACTCCGGACAGCTGACAGTGGCCGGACAGCAGCTGTCACATGCTGGTCTTTGACCTTTCCTAGGGCAGGGAGCAGCTCCTGCTGGTCTGAGGAAGTGGTCAAGCAGCTTTGTGTTTTCCTTGCAGGTTGGAGCCCTCTGCAGCTGAGTGAGCCCACAGGCTGGCCATGCCCACCCCATTGCTAACAGAGAGTCTTCCACAGGGGCAGATGAGGAAGACTCAGGCAGCTGGAGCTGGGAAACAGAAGTAACTGGACCCCCCACACTGCTGCTAAATGTGTACAGAGCTGGAGCTGTCTTCCTGCTTTTGTTTGCCCTGGACACTCTGCCTTTGTGGCCCTGCAGGAGCCTCTTTGCTCTTGGTGGGGTTCTTGGGGTTGAGTTTCACTTGATTTTTATCTATATGTCTTTTTAATTTTTTTTAAAAAAATGTGTGCATGCCTGTTCTCTCTGTCGCTCTGTCTCCTCCACACCCCCTTCCCCGTGTGTGTGTGTGTGTGTGTGTGTGTGTGTGTGTGTGTGTGTGTGTGTGTGTGTGTGCTGGGAACCAAACTCGGTTCTCTGCAAGAACAGCAAGTACTATTAGCTGCCAAGCCATCTCTCCAGCCCCAGGTGTGCCTTACAGTAGTGAGAGTGAGGCCACCAGGAAAGGGAGGCACATTGCTATAGTCCCAAGCCTACAGGATTGCTCTAGGCTCTATGTTCCACTCCATTCAAGGACTCCTAGGTAGACCCTAAGTAGTGAGCAAACTCTGGGATGTCTGGCTCCATCTTCCCCATGTGAAGTAGACCAGCGCAGACTATCAGCTTGTTCTCTGCAGAGCCCAAAGAAAGGAAGTTTGGGGGTTATTTTCTCAAGCTCCCAGCTGGTGGGTTACTGCCCTCTAACACTTCGTGGTGGCTCTGTGGCTCTCAACATGTGATGTCACTCCTGCTCTCATGAGACTGAGGTGAAGGGCTTTTTTATTTTATTAACTTTATTATTCCTGTCAGAGTCACTGACCCATGCATCCAAAAAAAAAAAAAAAACAACCAAAAAACAAAACAAAAAACCCACACTCTGAAATAACTACATCATTGAGCACAATATAAAACCGACTGATGGAAAGAAAATGCAAAATGATGAAGTCATTATAAGGTCATGCACATTGCATTCCTGAGAAGTTGCCTTTTTGAAGGGGAGGAGAAGGAGAAAGGGAATGTCACGGTGGGAAAAGAGTAAGAGCAAAGCTGTAGGTCAAGACCAAGGATTCATTCCGTGGCGGGAAGCGACAGCCCCTGGAAGTATTTTACATTTTATTATTGTGCCCATGTGCTCACGGTGTGTTTTGTGGGGGCACACATGTGGCAGTCAGAGGACAATCTTGTGGAGTTGGTTCTTCCCATCTGCCTAAGATGGATTCCAGGGATTGAACTCAAGTTGCCCAGCTCTCATGGTGAGCGCCCACTCCCTTGTATTTCCACAGTGCCATCTTGCTGGCCCAGGAAGCATTTTTTTTTAAAAACAACTATTTCTTGTGTTCTATCTTTTTCATTCTTAATGACAGAACGTTGCTTCAGGTTGCTGTAGCCAAACCACTGTCTGCAGTAAAAATCATTATCTAACTTGTAGTTGAAGGAAATGAAATTAACTGCATCAAGGACCTGGCAGAAGCCAAAGAACTGGGGAACTCAACTATTGGCTGAAGGTTACAGTTGTAGCATGGGCGAGGGATGGAGTGTGTAGGTACCCAGACCTCAGAAGATGGATTGGTGAAAGTCATCCCAAAGGTTCCGACGCCAGTGAAAATTGTTAATTGGCCTCATGAGCATTTGCCTTTTGATTGAGGCTACTAAAATGTCAGATCACCAGCCACATACAAAGGAATGAGTCACCAAGGATGGAACTTCAGGTGCCTCTGAGGTAGAGATTAGTTTCTCTAGAGGGAGGGAAGAATTTTCCAGTCTTCTCAAACAGTTATTTACTCATATATTAAAACAAAAACAAATAAACAAATAAGACCCCCAACACTTTCAAGACTGGTGATTTGTGTGTGTGCATGCACATGTGTGTGTGCACGCATGTAAAGACCCGAGATCAACTTTGAGTGTTATTCCTTGGAAGCCACTTGTCTTGTTGGTTGGTTGGTTGGTTCGTTTTCTTAATACTAGGATTGAAGTTTGGGCCTCATACATGCTAGGCAAGCGCTCTCTCACTGAGCCATCTC